TACCTGTTGTCAGTCACTAATAGTCCCCATTAACAACTATTCACCCTTCCAGCCCGATCGTTATCAACTCTTTGTCTATCCAACTGCTCTTCTCTCTCTTTAGGCTCTATTCTATCTTTTGCTCCCTACCCAATCGCCCTCACTTTTTTCTGCATATAAACTGACGTTTTCCCAGCCACCATCAGTTTCATTGCGGCATTTCATTTCAAATAGGCATTTCGTATTAGTTTACAGGATACATTACAAGTTTTAGACTTTGCCTTTTTACACACCTTATGGATCAAGATGCAGTTTCCTTCGCAATATCACAGAAAAGCCAAAAGCGGGAGATCAAACTTCCTCTTTGGTCTTTATCCAAAGCAATACAGCTGGTGTGACACTCCACCTGATGGATCAATAACACATCAAAATTCTAAGATTGCTTTATTTGAAAAGAGTGGACATGAATTCTGATTGAAATGGAAATGCAATTTCATGAACTGGGTATTCATCGGGAAAAGAATGCACCCTTTGGGCATGAGATAAACATACATTAAGGATGAATTAAGCATGCAGTGGATAGATTTTGAGCATTCATTAGGAATGAAATAGACATGAATTGAGCATATATTGGGTATTCATTAGGTATGTGTTGGGCATGCTGGTGTTGAGGTGAATATTATACAATTGCTTTTGTATTTTTCTGCATCATCTATTCATTTTTAAAATGAAACAAATGCAATACCAGAATTGTGAGATTGTTTTTTTCTCAATTAGGACAGAACAGAAGGAGTTCCTTTCTCTATAAAATAGATGATGAGAGATGATCTAATAACACTCATTCTAAGTGATTGGATGATATACATATCAAGAAGAAATTGTCATTTGTGGTGGTTTATAAAACTAGAACTCAGAAATATAAGATAATCGCTAATAGAATCAGAACAAAGGTCTGTGATTGGGTGGATGGTGGGACATCACAAAAATGGAATGATGACACCAGACAAAATGGAATGGTAACAGAATAAGTAAAAATCAATAAAATGTGGTCTGGAGGAGATTAATTGAAGTAAGAGAATCATCACTGAAAGTTGTTATCCACACGGGTTAAAGTAATGATCTGGAATTGATTATCTCAATGTTGAGTCTGGAAGACCAAACTCAATAAAGGTGTAAATTTCAAGCTTTTGATATAACTGTGATGTAGAAACGTAGGAAAAAAGGGCAAGTGTATTTAGTCTGTCAAACCTACTTCACAAAACAAACAGACCATGGCTAGTCCTCTATCTCAGTGCATCCGCTCTCTGGGCAATTAGGGATCAAGAAATGATGGCCTAGCCAGGGACACTCACATCCCATAAGCAAATAAAGTTGATGGAGCTGAGGAATGTAAACTGGAAAAACTAGTGGGCAATAGTTAGAGGAGAAATTGACTGAGTTCAACCCAAAAACAAACTTTTGTGAAAATGTAAGGACAAAAAGCTAGGAATGGAATGAGAGGTGAAGAAAAAACAATGACTTGAGTAAAGGGAATACAAGAAGCTTAGGAAAGAGATTAAAAAGACAATTTAGAACAAGAAACATAAAAACAAAATTCTGTAGACCCATAAATAACAAAATGATTATATACATGTTGTTCAATGCCATTCATTTAAGGATGAATAAGTTGAACTAATGGAAAATTGAAATAGAAGCTTTTTTTATTTATTCATGGGATATGGGTATCAATGGTTTGGCCACAATTCATTGCTCACCCTTAATTGCCCTGGAGAAGGTGATAATGAGCTACTTTCATGAAATACTGCAGTCTTTGGGGTGCAGGACTCTGAATATGGCCTTCATTTGCACTAAAGGGGGTAAACTAATGTTAAAATATCAAAAGTAAAAATGGCCAAAGTAGAAATCAAAAGAGGTAAGGTTGAAATGAAATACCACACAAGTGAACTGAATTTAAAGAGGCTAAAGTAAGTACAGGTGGCCTGCACTTGGAGATACTCAAAGAAGTTAAGTAAATATTAGAAAATGCACAGGTATCCAGATATACAGTAGAAAAGACACTACAATGTTTTCTAAAAGAGCAGATAAAATCTCTAAGGTTGAGGACTACAAGAAACGTAGATTTCTAAAGGGATTTCTAAAAGGTGTCAAGGGAAATGGCGGGAGAGTAGTAGCATTGCACTGAGATAGAGAACTAACCATGGTCTGTTTGATTTGTGAAGTAGGTTTGACAGACTAAATACACTTGCCCTTTTTTCTATGCTTCTACATCACAGTTATATGAAAAGCTTGAAATTGAACAGCCAGATAACTGTAAATGTATTGATGTGGTCTATTTGCACTTTCAAAAGGCAGCACTGCCTGGACGGGTGGTAGAAGCAGAAATCCTTATAACATTTAAGAAGTATTTAGATGTGCACTTGCGATGACGAGGCACACAAGGCTATGGACCATGTGCTGGAAAATGGGATAAGAATAGGTGTTTGTTTTTGTGTGCAGATGTAATGGGCTTAAGGGCCTTTTTCTGTGCTGTAGAACTCTTTGGTAGAGTCATGAGAGGTTGGGCCATGGGAGGTCAGGTGTAGGTGGCAGAGTGAATTTGCAGGATGGCCACAAGACAGAAAACAGGGGCTGAGAGTAAAGACCTTCTGGCAGAAAGTAGGATGTGCTGCCCATGTTGGAACCACTGTGGTTAGATTTGGGCTAGGAAATTGGAAAGGCACTGTATCAAAATTTGTAGAAGATAATAGTTTGGTGTTTACAACTAGTCATGTGAGGGCACCATATCCCAGATGCAGAAAGGTATTAAACAGCTTGCAGGGTAGACAGAACAATGCCAAGAGAGAATCAATACTGTGAAGGAGTAAGAATCAGGCTGGTCATTTATTCCTTAGAAGATGAGAAACTATATTGGGTGTAGGAGCAACACAATTACATGAGCTGTTCAAAACAAGAACTCAAGTTGTCGATCGCAAACCTTTGCTAAAATCTATAGATTGCCCTTTGCCCTGGCCACACTGTTATCAACTCTCACTCCCAGCTGTAGCTGGTGAAAGCTTACTATGGAGGCAATCCCACTAGAATCCCTGTTCAAGCAAATTGTGGGCCAATTATTTCAATGTAAAAATAAAACAAATTACTGGTTAAAAGATAAAGCAATGAATTACTTTCAATGAATTATTTATAAAATACTGTTTTCTTTTTTAAAAAAGAACACTCTTTCTGCTTATGAATAAATTAGTCCTTGCCAAAGAATAGTTAGGATCATATTAATCCTATTATAAATTGTTTTGAATACTTTTTAATACAGTCACAGGCAAAGATCAAATCCCCTGATGTTCTCAGTGTTTCTTTAAAAGAACGAGAGTTAATCTCATTGATCAGTTGATGGTTCCACTAAGGTATTAGCCCAGTGTCAGCATTGTTCCTGGCTGGCTGTGAGGCAGCCAAATTCTTATTCAGCGCTGGTTCTATTAACTCGTGGACCACATTCCCCACGTAAAGACCTGTTGCCTATCAGTCACGGTACTATCGCGGCTAAAACAGACAGACAGAGAGAGAGAGAGAGGGCGGTTGATAGAGTGACTTGTTTACTTTCAGTGAGGCTTGTTATGTCAGCTTTGAATTTTTCATGAGGGCTCCGGTAACCTGTAACCTGCAAACTACACTCTTGGGGGCTCCCAGCACAAAGAGACGCACCAGTTCTCACTCCCCATCTGGCACTGGGTGTGAAGGACAAGCCGGGACTGCTGGAAACATGAAGAAGCTGGGACGGTCTGTTGGCGTCGTTTTCATTATATAACAGGGTGGGGGGAAAATTGGCAAGATATTGTTCAGCTTGTACCCTGCTTTCTCGGTGCATGTGGCATTTTCATAGCCTCGGTGAAATCTATAGTGAGGGTCTCAGAATAAATGTGACTGACTCCAATACCGCCTCAGTAGAATGGTCACTAACTTCTTTTCATGTCCCGTTTATATTTCACTATAAACGGTGAAATTCAGAGGGAGTGTTAGGAGCTTTTGTTACGTTAATCAAACAGACTTCAATTAGACTTTGGTCCAGGTTTTTGTTTAAAAGTCCCATGGGGATATTAATGGGCTTATGTTACACATATTCAGCACTATCTTTTCACTAATGTGATAGGGTGCACTGTCCTGAATACTTTATTTTCACTCGAGATAAAGAAAGCAACAAAAAACAACAAATAAATGACAGAAGGAAATTAATACTGTAGTTGCAGGGGAGTGACATTGTTCTTGATATCTTATTTTAGTTGTAATTTTTTTCTCTTCCTGTGTGTAGTACCGCTTGCCAATTTCAGCTTTGAGACTACAAAGCTATTGTTGCTGGTCGCCTTGCAAATGGATTGCTCGCTGACACAAAAACGTTTTCCATCGAATTTCCTCCTCCTGCGCTAGTCTTGGTCACTGCAAACGTGCTGTCGACCTTTTTTCCACTTTTTTTTTATTATTCAACAGGAGGCAAACGTACTGGAACCAATCGGTTAACGGGCGTTACTTGGTAAATTAAATTCCGTTAAGCTTGTGTTTGTTGGCATAAAGGAACACCACGGGCCAGTATCTCGCAACGCCTCGCTCACTGGCTCATTAAATCTCTTCTTTTTTGCCCCAGAACCGCGTAACCCACTTCCTGGCCACTTTTTTCCTGTCCTTCTGAACGGCGATCAGTTTAATCGGTTGTCATTTACTGACAGCAAGTAGTTTGGGGTCACTGCTGAACTGGGTAAAATGTCACAAGCCACCTTTGCCTGCGCTGATGATGAGTGTGGTTATACATCAAGTCAGCCAGGGATTAAGGGGAATCTCTTCAACTGAGAAGTTAGACATAAAAGGTGGAGTTCACGACGAGGCTGTGGGGATTGTGATGATATAGGGAGAGGCATGGCCTCAGCAAGCTCAGTAATAGTGGACTGTGTGTAAACTAAAGTGGCCAGACTATATTCGAGTTTTGATGAATTGGTTTTCAACCTAAGACTCTTAACTGTAAGACAGTCGCTAATAAACCTAAGAAGGATTTCAGGAGAAACATTTCTTTTTCTAGAAAGAGGGAATTGCAACCTCTCGTGTCTTTATTTCTTTGGCCAGGAGACTCTGAAGCCCCAGTGGAATAATTGAGGCAAATGCCATTGAGACATTTCAGGGTCAACTGGAGAAGGAAGGAAGTGAGAGAGAAACAGAAGGGAAAATACATAGAAACAAAGAAGATAGGAGCAGGAGAAGGCCCTTTGAGCCTGATCAGTCGTTCATCATGAGTATGGCTGATCGACCGACTCAATAGCCTAATCCTGCTTTCTCCCCATAACCTTTGATCCCATTCACCCCAGGTGCTATATCTAGCTGCCTCTTGAATACATTCAATGTTTTGGCATCAACTACTTCCTGTGGTAGTGAATTCCACAGGCTCACCACTCTTTGGGTGAAGAAATGTATCTCCTCATCTTCATCCTAAATTGTGTACCCCAAATCCTCAGACTGTGACCCCTGGTTCTGGACACACCCATCATCGGGAACATCCTCCCTGCATCTACCCTGTCCGGTCCTGTTGATAGGGAGGAGATGAAGATGGAGGGCAGGAGACTTGTGTGAAGGATAAATACTGGCAGAGACAACTTGGTTGAATGGCCTGTTTCTGTGCTGTGGACGATGACAATGCAGTTTTAATGAGATTTTTGGTCTGGTGACCCCAACTGTTAAGGGGTGATGTCCAATTGATGTGAGGAGCAGACAAGTCAGCAACCTGGCTGTGTAGATCATAATCTTTTTAAATGATTTTTGTTACTGAAGGGTTCTTTTACTAAAGACAAGCATTCAATGTTGCAGTCTCCATTTGAACAAGACAAACAGAAGTGTATTAATAAGAAAAAACCCACACTTCTCCCTAATAGCACAGATTCATCGATATTACCTCTTACCTGTCCCTTATATCCAAGGAGGATTGGATGATTATGGTTAGTGCCTCCTTGATTTCCATCCTTAGTTCCCTCAGGATCCTCAGATGTATCTCCCTTAGCCCTCATGATGTAAAAATTCTAATTTGCAGTAGGCTGCATAATAATTCTTATTTATCACATTTTAGCCCATCCAGTTTCTCAACTATCTTATCTTTCACGACGACTTCACACTGTGGCAATGTCTTCTTGATGCAAAATAATCATTTACTACCACAGCAAAGTCAGAACTATCATACATAAATTCCTAATAAACCCACTCCTCTCTTTATTAAGAGATAACACAGTGTAGAGCTGGAGGAACACAGCGGGCCAGGCAGCATCAGAGGAGCAGGAAACCTGACATTTTGGGTCAGGATTCTTCTTCTGAAGAAGGGTTCCAACCTGAAACGTCAGCTTTCCTGCTTCTCTGATGCTGCCTGGCCTGGTGTGTTCCTCCAGCTCCACACTGCGTTATCTCTGACTGCAGCAGCAGCAGTTCTTACTACCTCCATTTATTACCCTTTTTCAGTCTATGATTGACATTAAACCTTCAGAATATGTGCCACTCTGGCACTCAATAGGTTTCTTTTTTGCATTCAAAGGTTGTCCAAAGTCCCCAGCGTCACAGATGAAAGATTTCAGCCAATTTTGTTTATTTCATGTGATATTAAGGAACAGTTGGAAGCACTAGATACAGTGATGGCTATGGGGCCTGACAACAGCTGCAGTGCTGAGAACCTGTATGACAAAACTAGCCTGCTCCTAGCCTAGCTGTTTAGTACAGAATATCTAACAGGCGATATGGAAATTTGCTCAGGTACGTCCTGTCCACAAAAAGCTAATATGCCAATTACCACTCATCAGTCATAGAGTCATACACTTGTACAACATGGAAATTGACCCTTCTGTCCAACTTGTCCATGCCGACCAGAAATTCCAAATTAATCTACTCCCATTTGCCAGCATTTGGCCCATATCCTGCTAAACCCTTCCTGTTCATATACCCATCCAGGTGCCCTCTAAATGTTATAATTGTATTCCTGTCTAAATTGTCAGCTAGGTGATGGAAGGAGTCACTAATTGTGTGGTTAAGTGACTGGATGGTTAAGGGTCTGGGTGCTGTTCTCTTTGAAGGGTCGGTGAAAACTGGATGGGCTAAATGGCCTCTTTCTGCACTGTAGGGATTCTATGACAAAAGACTTGAATTCCAGATGTGAGAGTTAACTGCTTTTATCACCTTGGCAGCATTTCCCCAAGTGTGGCATTAAAGACCCTGAGTAAAATCAAATTCACCGGGAGTCATACCTTGCACAAAGGAAGACGACTATGGTTATTGGAAGCTAAACAACTTGGCCCCAGGACATTGCTGCAGGAGTTCACAGGCGCAAACTTCTTTAAGTGCTTCATCAATGATCTCCTCAGTACCGCTCATAATTTGGCACATACTGAAGCAGTCAGTTGCATGCAGCAAAACTAGGGCCATATTCAGATTTGGACTAATAAGGAGCAAATAACAGTTGGGCCACACAAGTGCCAATTTGATCGTCTTCACATAAGAGAGAATCTAACCATGTCCACTTGGCATTCAATGGCATTACCACTGAATATTTCACAATCAACATTCTGGGGGTTACCATCATCAGAAGCTTAACTGGACCAGCCATATCAATTCTGTGGCCACAAAAGAGGGTGAGAGGCTGGAAATGCTGTGGTGAGTGTCTCAACATCCAACTCACCAAAGTTGGTTCAGAATCTAAAAGGCATACATCACAAACGTGACAGAATAATCTCCACTTACCTGGGGAGTCCAGCTCAAACAATATTCAAGAAATTTGTTGCTATCCAGAACAATGCATTGAGTATAGGAGTTGGGAGGTCATGTTGCAGCTGTACAGAACATTGGTTAGGCCACTTTTGGAATATTGTGTTAAATTCTGGTCTCCCTAATTTAGGAAAGATGTTGTTAAACTTGAAAAGTTCAGAAAAGATTTACAAGAATGTTGTCAGAGTTGGAGGGTTTCAGGTATAGATAGAGGCTGAATAGGCTCGGGTTATTTTCTCTGGAGTATTGGAGGCTGACAGGTGACCTTATAGAAGTTTACAAAATCATGAGGGGCATGGATAGGGTGAATATTCAAGGTCTTTCCCCAGGGTAGGGGATTCCAAAACTAGAGGGCATAGGTTTAAGGTGAGAGAGGAGAGATGTAAAAGGGACCTAAGGGGCAACTTTTTTTACGCAGAAGATGGTTCATGTAAGGAATGAACTGCCAGAAGAAGTGATGGAGGCTGGTACAATTACAACATTTAAAAGGCATCTGGATGGGTATATGAATAGAAAGTGTTTAGAGGGATATGGGCGTAATGTTGGCAAATGGGACTAGATTAGTTTAGGATATCTGGTCAACATGGATGTGTTGGACTGAAGGGTCTGTTTCCATGCTGTACATTCTATGACTATGAGTCTATGACATAAGAGGTCATTTCATCAGCATCCCATTCAGCACCTTAAACACCTAGCTACATGACCCTGCATGTACAAGATGCCCTGAAATAACTCACCGAAGGTCTTTCAAAAGCACCTTGAAGGCATGGAGCAGGTTCAAGGGAACGCCATCGCCTGCAACTCCCATCCAACTTGGAACTATGTCACCATTGCTTCATTGTCATTACGTCAGATTCCTGGAACTCCCTCCCTAACAGCACTGGGGGTGTCCCTGCACCAAATGGACTGCAGCAGTTCCAGACATTAGCTCACCACCACCTTCTAAAGGGCAATTAGGGATGGGCAACAAATGCTGGCCTTGACCAATACACTCACATCACAAGTACAAACAAAAACCTGACTTGTAAACCCCTACTAACTTGGGCACTTGGCTTCTAAATAACAACGTTTTTTTGCTAATAATTTATCCTACATCCTAACAGCATTTATGATTTTGGCACTGACTTGCAGTAGCTGGTGTTTCAAAACGAAAGAGAATTGTTGCATGGCAATGAAAGACAGGGGCAGGGTGATAAAGGCAGTAAATTATGTTTGATGTAGACAAGTCTGTACAGTGAATTGCAGTTTATTCATTAAATATACTTTAATTGTTCTGACAAGAACATAGATAGCCAAGAATGTGAAATAAAAATAAGGATGGGATGAAATGTCAAATATGACCCTTTTTATGGTTGGTGAGAGAACAATGTGTTAAATATTCACTATTAGATAGGATTGCTCTTTCCTCCAGCCTAACAAAAAGCCCAAATGAAATGAAATCTTATGACAATATAAACATTGAAATTATTAGCAAGTGAATTTTCAGTTTTTGCACACTTGAAATAGGACCAAGCATTTATAGGAGTAATTTGACTTATTCAGTGTTTAAAAATTGAAATTTGGTGAAATACTTACAAATCAACCGAATCTGCTTCAAGGAAATAAGAACAATCAAATACAGATTCTAAACCTCTTGGGCTGAAGGTAAATCCCTTACACATTACCACTGTTTATGTTCCACCCTGCACCAACTTAGCGTTCGCTGGGCCATAAATTGGCATGTGATAGGCTTCCTTTCTGATTGGGGAGCTTCCAGCAGTTGTCTTGTCCCAGCAGTGCCACCAAAAGCCAGTGCCTAAGGAATATGTTCGGTGATGGAACCCAGATTGTGAGCTGAGTCAGGGATACTCTTGGAATCAGCCTGGCAGACTCCAGTGAGGTGGTCAAGGGGTGGAGGTGAATGTGGGGGAGCAGCAAGTGATAGGTCAAGTGAGGGAGGAATGCAGGGTTTCAGCGGGTCTTTGTTGGCCACATGGGTTTGGAAAGAAACTGCCACCACTTTGTCCATCCAGCTGTCTACCTGGCAGGCTGGAGCTTGATGCCAGTCTCTGCTGCCATGGGCAAAATACCAACAGAGGTGGGGGGAGGCCCCTAAGTGGATATTAATTGGCCTGTTAGGACCTCAATTCGTCCATTGGTGAGTGGTCTGCTCAATGCCTCCCCAAAATTGCAGTGAGGCAGGCCGGAGGGGTTTGGCAACATAAAATGATTACCATAACACCAAAACCTGCAGCCATTGAGTCATATAGCAAGGAAAGAGACCCTTCCGCCCAACTCATCCATTTCCTAAACTGAACTAGTCCCATTTGCCTTCATCCCTCTAAACCTTCCCTCTCCATGTACCTGTTCAAATGTTTTTTAAATGTTGTAGTTGTACCCACCTCTATCACTTCCTCTGGCAGCTCATTCCACATACACACTGCCTTTCTGTGAAAATATTGCCCCTCAAGTCCCTTATAAATCTTTCCCCTTTAACCTTAATCCTATGACCTCTAGTTTGAACTCCCCTATCCTGGGGAAAACAAAAATGTTGGTTATTCACCTTATCTATGAACTTCGTGATTTTATAAACCCCTACCAGGTCACCCCTCAGCCTCCTATGTTCCAGGGAAAAATGTCCCAGTCTATCCAGCCTCTCCTTACAACTCAAACTCTCCAGTCTCAGTAACATCCTTGTAAATATTTTTTGCATCCTTTCCAGTTTAATGACTTTCTTCCTATTGTACAGCAACCAGAATTGTATGCAGCATTCCAAATGTAACTTTACCAATGCCTTGTACAGCTGTAATATAACATTGCAACTCGTGTATTCAATGCTCTGACCGATGAAAGCAAGCATGCAAAACACTTTGTTCACCAGCCTATCTACCTGTGACACCACTTTCAAGAAACTATGTATCTGAACCCCTCTGTACCTGAACCTTTGTTTGACAACACTCCTGTCTAAATTACAATGCATAAATAAAGATCTGTATCAAGGAACACATTTAGACCATTGATTAACAAGGGTGAGGTAAATTCATCTCATAATGTTTACTTTTTACTATCCATCTTATCTTAGAGCTTTTATGGTGCAGTGGTAGTGTCTCTACCTCTGGGCCAGAAACTCCAGGTTTAAGTCCAACCTGAGGACTTGTTTATCAGTGCAGGAACGTTAATAAGATGGCCAAACAAAGTGTTTGTCACCCTATAAATCCTTCTAATATGCCTGATGGAAGGTAGTAAGCTTGGGATTGTCTCATGGTCAAAGAAATAAATGCAGCTATCTTTGTAGCCTTGAAGATTGAATCCAGCAAACACAAATACTGAATGAAAAACGGGAAATGCTGGACATACTCAGCAGGTGAGGGATTTTTTATGATTAGTAAAACAGAGTTACCATTTCAGGCCATGGAGTCATAGCTCAGAAAAAGGCCCATTGGCCCATCATATCAGCTCCAGTCATGAAGCACCTATCTCGTACCATTCTCCAACACTTGGTCTAGCCTTATATGCTATGGCACTTCAAGTAATGGTCTTTCAACTGAAAAGTGCACTATTCCAACCATTGTCTCACAGAGAATCATTACACACATCAATGGAAGCTCCATCATGAGATCATTGACCTTGATGATCTTACTGTTTATTACTTTGGCTAAAATATATTTATTCTTTTTATTACTTCCTTACCAGAGATAGTCACCAAGATTCCAACTGTGAATCAGTTATCTACATTTTAAGGATTGGTTGTAAGCAACAAAATGAATGTTTAATAATTTTGCTATTTAATGACAGTGGATATGTTCGTAATTGCTGTGCAATTGCTGCCCATTCAATTACCATTGTGCAATTACACCTATTTGCTGCTGAAATTTATACTTTGGGAGTTCCTTCCACTAGAAGGGGAATATGGAACTTCTTCCAGAAAGAGCACTTTCTCCTCAGGTGTGTCCCTGTCTGTTGACTATCCTCTCTAAATTTTTAACTTACTGGTCAGTCACTGAAACCAAGTCACTAAACAGGGCTTTCTTTAGATGTCAGGCTCCTGCTCACAACTCAGGCTGACAACTGGTTTCTCCCATGGACTGGGAGGTCATTGTATCTTAATGAACATTGCACAAGGACCCTACGGAATGTCATCAAAATCTGACCATGCATCAGGTCATTCCCACTCTGTGTATATTTTAATAATCATCAGATAATCATGCAAGGGAAGAATGAGAAGGGTTATCAACGCCTGCCCTCAAAGAAGAAAAACCACCATGTGCAAATGCACCATCTTTTACTTATAAATTCTGTGTCTGATACTAACTCTCTCACTAACACCTGAAGAAGTTGTAAGGCTCCAAAAGATTGCGTTTTCAAATGAACCTGTTGAATTATGATCTGGTGTCATGTGATTTCTGACCTTGTCCACCCCTGTCCAGCACCAGCACCTCTACATCATCTGCAGATGATGAAAGACAGATTTTGCATGTATACAACAGTTGATTTCATTTCTTCAAGACATCTCACAGCGCTTTACCATCCAGCACAGTGTGTAAGGTGACCTGCAAAATTTCAAACAATGCTTCCAAAAATGGACTGGATTTATACACTGCATATCAATGTGAATCATTGGTTTTGGTGGAGGACAACTCATTTCTGTTTAACAGTCCAGTCTGTACAGGTGTAATATAAACTTCCCTACATCTCAGCAACACTATCCATATTTCCTGTTTGATTTGTTGTGCGTGGTGTATCTACAACCCGAAAAGTGTATCTCTAAACTGAAAATTTGAGATCAACTCCTAATGTGAGTAGAGTCCTAAATATGCCATTATTAGCTGAAAATTAGCATGATATAGGCAAGTAATCAGTTTGACGTTGAATCAATCTATACTAATATTCTTGGAACTTGTGATAAAATCAATTTTTGTTCCATGTGATTGAAGCTAGCAGATATAGAGAATTAGTTAGCTGGAGATTGTAACAGTCAGGGCACAGGATATTCCACTGCTGGGTACATTTGATTGTACCTACTAATGGTACTAGGCACCTGGCAGTGACCTTTGCTCAGGACAATCACTCTTGTTCCCCATAATATGATGTCCTCTACTGTGATCTGGTATCTCTGGGTCCAGAAAGGTTTCGACTCTGATCGTAATGGTCCTTTGATTTTCCCCATCGACACCAGCTGTTTCAGTTTTGCCAGAACCTGACATTACTGCATCGGATATTGTCAGCTGTGACTGGAACTGTGTCGAGAAAATTTAAAACCATGGACTCTTCCAGTGGCAGTACCACCAGCGATGTATCTGGCAGCGGGAGGCAGCTCAATGCATCCGCATTTGCTACTTGACCTCCCGTATGGTGTTCCAACTTGTAATTACATGCACTTAGTATTAGAGCCCACTGCTGAATTTGGCCTGAACCTATGGGTGGCACTGTCTTGTCACCTTTAAGTAGTCCTAGCAGATGTTTGTAGTCCATTATTATTACAAATTTACGTTCGTAAAGATATTGGTGGAACTTCCTAACTCCAAATATGACTGGCAAACCTTCCTTCTCTAACTGTGCGTACTTATGCTCTGCATTAGCCAAAGTCTTGGATGCATATCGAGCATTCCTCCCCATTGGGCTACCTATGAGCTGATGCTACCCTGATGCCACACTGGGAGGCATTGTGTGTCAATACCAGATCTCTCTTGGGATCATAGTGTGCCAACACCTTAGAGGATGATAGCTGTTACTTCACTTCCCTGAAAGCTCTGGCTTGGCTACGTGACCATTTCCAAGGCTGACCCTTTTTATGAGTTGATGCAAAGGTGCCAGGATGGAGGCCAGGTTATGCATGACCTTTCTGTAATAATTCACCA